CCTCTCTTTCTACCTACAGCCACCAGCAAGCAACACCTCCTCCTCCTCCGCTCCAGCCGGCGACCCACAAGCTGGTCCTCCTCTGAGCACCCTCACCGCCCAGCTCTCTCTACTCAACGCTTGTAACCATGCTGCCTTCCCAACACCAAGCTGCATTGTACATCCAATACAATATGTATACAGAGCACATTGTGAGTTTCCTTTCTCCAACCCATCCTGAGTGTGAACCAATATCTCGTACCCCACAAGACCACCACTCCAAGCCTGATCGCCCCTACTAGGGCACATCGAAACCAGATATCCCTCACGAGCGCTCTGGACTGCCAGAGGCAACAGAATTCCCCACGGGTAGTGTGAGTGACCCACACTCCTGCTGGAGGGCTGCTGTCGGTCCTGACGTGGTTTGGGGTCTTTCCCTCCTGCTCAGTCTTTCCTCTTTTCGCTCTGGCCTGGGGACCTGCACCCTCAGAGGTGTATTCGTCCTCAGGTCCCCCCTGTAAGTTTTCACCTGCCTCCCATATACTGCTAGACTGGGGTCACTAATTCTAAGGGTAAATACTTAACTCTAATCTTAATTTCTAAGGGTCGCTGCCACCAGACCCCCTCTGGACAGCATGTAGCTCGTTAGGTAGCGGGCAGAGTGGACTAGGCATTGGGTTAGGTTTTTCATTGACCAGATCGATAAAGAAAGGGTTATGCTGCACTTTTATCATTGTCATTCCTATAAACCCCATTTAATTCATATTATGCTATATAACATTCAAATCCACCGCGCTTGTAGAACCTCAGAAAACGGGAAACATTGATAAAGGAAGATACGAATTGTTCTTTACACAGTAATAGACTTTGTAGAGGTATTGAGATATTAATGTTGTCTAGCACTCAGGATGGAAGGAAACTCTAATGTGGTTTTCTTGTATAATATATAAGTTATATGAAGACAGTCTGGTGCTGGAGATGCCGTGAGGTGGGGAGCTGCTCAGTAGAAGACGTTCGGTGAGTAGCGTGTTGAAGGAGGTAGATGTGCAGGAGCTTCGTTAGAGAAGATGTTGCCTGTTGCTGGCCTCCTGATTGAATGAATGCTGGACAGCTAGGAGCTTGCTGGAGGAGATGTTGCTTGTTCAGGAAAATGGGCAGAATGAGAGTTGGTTGGTGAGGAATCTCAGAGAAGGACATGCTCGCTGGCGGGAGCGAGGACCGCCAGGCAGGCGGAGGAGAGGCGAGGGTCGCCAGGCAGCGGCAGAGGAGGTGTTGCTTGTTCAAGAAGATTGGTCAGAATGAATCTCAATGGAGAGACAGAGCTTATATACCCCGCAGCAGCCGCCATGAGTCATGTTGGGAAAACCCGAGAAGTCGCCGGTGACTAGTTCCGTTGCTAAGATACGGTAACATCTGGGGACAGCTCTCGCTTGGTTGCTAGGGGAGGCGGCACATTGGAATGCGATACGCAGTTTGTAGGGGAGACGTTCACTACAATACTCCCCCTCCCCTCCAGGCGGTGTAGGAGACTTGTTGTTTGTAGAGTTGCTTAGCACATGTGAGGAAGACCGGGCGGTGCATGCCTCATGTGAGACAACGGCGATGGCGTGATGAGCCGATCGCTGATATACAACTGTCTAGATACACACTATCTGTGGGAGAAGGGAGAAAAAGGGTGTGTGGAGGAGATGAATGTTGTGCTTCCCTCACGACAGGTACAGGGTCGTCAGATGCGCCTGCTGGGGTGTGTGTGGGCCTGGATCAGGAGCAGGGGCTGGGTCAGCAGAAGCGGATTAGGGCTCGTGACAGCAGCTGGGTCCACGACAGCAGCAGGGTGCAGGACATTAGCAGGGAGTACCTGCGGGAGAAAAGAGGGTGTGTGTGGGTCCGGATTCGGGAACAGAGGCCGCGTCAGGGGTTATTGCTGGGTCGGGGTCGGCGTCTGAGGCATGACGGGTGTGCTGGGGTCGTCAGAATGTGGTGCGTGAGGCAGGAAGAGGAGCTGGTGTCTGCTTGAAGACTGGGAGCGTGATCAGTGTCTCCTCCATCCTGTGTGAATGCTAATCTCCGGGAGTCACCATTGTATGGGTGTCGAGATATTAATGTTGTCTAGCACTCAGGATGGAAGGAAACTCTAATGTGGTTTTCTTGTATAATATATAAGTTATATGATAGACAGTCTGGTGCTGGAGGTGCCGTGTGGTGAGGGGCTGCACGGTAGAAGACGTTCGGTGAGTAGCTTGTTGAAGGAGGTAGATGTGCAGGAGCTTCGTTAGAGAAGATGTTGCCTGTTGCTGGCCTCCTGGTTGAATGAAATGTTAACAGCGTGGAGCTTGCTGGAGGAGATGTTGCTTGTTCAGGAAAATGGGCAGAATGAATCTCAATGGAGAGACAGAGCTTATATACACCCAGCAGCAGCCGCCAGTCCTCTATGAGACATGTTGGGAAAACCCGAGAAGTAGCCGGTGACTAGTTCCGTTGCTAAGATACGGTAACATCTGGGGACAGCTCTCGCTTGGTTGCTAGGGGAGGCGGCACATTGGAATGCGATACGCAGTTGTAGGGGAGACGTCCACTACAACTTCATGCTTGGAATTTACCATCAATATTGCTACAATATACTGTACAGTACTGTACTACCATATGTTACTTAACAGAATACTGGTTAAGAATATTATGTCACTTCTCTGTAAAAAGGGGTTTTTATTGCACTTACACAGTAATACTGTATAACATCAGGAATGATTTTAGAAATTATGGAGAATATTAGAACAATGGACACTCATTCTAGTCAGCTCTTTCCCCGTGTTATTATTTAAAGATTGATATAAATGCTTGTACTAAATACAAAAATAGTACAGACTAGTTTCAAACGATAAATGGAAAGTCTTTACATTCGAGAAAAAGGAAATGTAACGATTTAGTATAGCATTAAATCAATTCAGTGTATACTGTACTGCACTCAGAAGATATGTACAATACTACTATAACTACAGTTGTCAGGTAACATCACAGCTGAGCAAAATGTATGGGTGGTAGGTTGACGAGGAGTTAACTGCTCTGAGCGCCCCTTATATTGTTCTAACCGTTCGCCGACATGGCAAAATTTCAAATCCCAGCCAGGGCAACCTATTTTTATTTGCTTCAACCTGACTAGAGTGTTTTAAATTGTCAATTTTGACATCATTGCTAGACTCCTTACATGTTTCCTTAACTTCCTCTTGCCTATATATATTTTGGTTCTTACAGTAAAATCTTTTTTAGTACAGTAATTCATTCATTAACTAAAAATCTGCAGTTAAGTAGGGGCCTGTGGTCTGCGTGTAAATTACTGCTACATTAACAGCAAATTTGTTGATGTGGCTTTGCAGACACATATAGATATGTAGACAACAAGAAAGAAAGACAAATGTGGTGAAATAATATTTTACATACCCGTTGTGTCAACCTACCACACCATACACATTCACATGACCATAGCTGTGTGTGGAGGGGGGTCATGATGGAGTATGAGGGGCAGCCGTTCAGTACCTCGAACCACTGCTATTAGAAGTTTGTAAATCGTATTTACTTTACAAAATTGAAGTTGTAAGTAATGCCTATTGAATTTTTTATTTATTTTTTTTTCAAAGTATAATCTGGACGATTGCTCGCAATGACTGTATAAACCTCTTGCATTAACACAAACGGTAGTGTCCCTCACAATGGTTGTAAGATCATTCAAGTAACATGTGTGTTGGTAGGGAGGTTCAGCACAGCGACTCACCATCAGGTAAGGGTCGAACAGCCTGCTCACCCTCTGGCCTGACTGTATCACAAATTCCTAACCCTCTTTTGACTTTACCAGTTCACCATCTAATAGATTCTATGCATTTTCCACACAGGTACACAAAAACACCAGGTCATCTCTCACACTCCTCCAGCACTGAAGCCCTCTCCCTCTCTTTCCCTTGCTTTCAACACCGAGGTTGCCTCCCTCACTTCCGAGATTTCCACTAAAAAAAAATCAGAGGGGTTGATTCAAAGTTTGCACCTCTCCTCTACCCTCCCTCCAAGCCTATGCACTATCTTCAGGCCTCAACACTCATCAAACAACTGCCCCTCTTTATCAACTTCATAGATTAAAGTCCACTGTAGTAGTGTGTATTGAACACTTTGTCTCTTGACACTTCAGCTTTCGGGGCCCAAAAAACAGTACAGTACCTTTAGAACCTTTTTGTTTGGGTCCTGTCTATCAGCGTAATTTTCTTTTTGAACACCCTTGTATTACGTTATTGTAAGTCCTTAAAAATTTCTTAACTGGACAATGATGACGATGATGGGGTGAAGGCGAGAGAGGTCACAGAAGAGTTATTTAATTTCACCAAGTCTTTTTCTATGTGTACAGATTCATGTCACAGAAACATTGAACAAATAATAAATTAGATTTGCTAATTCTGAGTGACTAATATTTTACCTGTCTGACACTAACCCTTTGTTTACATATGAAGGTACAGTACTGTACAATATTTATGCTTTTCCCTAAAAAGCATTGGTATTATGTTTAGTGTTAACTGGATTACTAACATACATGACAATGTTTCGATGTGAGCTCTCATTAGAATAATTGGACTAATACAAAATATGTATTAGAGGGGCACCTTTTAATTTTTCAAGATGAGTTCATTTCGACATTCTCTTGGTGAAATTCATGCTACGTATATCTAAACCATACCTTGCAAAATTTAAGAAAAGATATGCCCCTTTGTGGTCACTTGGGGGTGGGGAGGATGAATCCCCTCTTTCCTTCCCTTAAAGGAAATACTGACTTCCAACACTAAAGTAATCTCTCCTTCAGCTCTGACATTGATGGTTCTAGAACATTTTGTCACTGGTTCAGTATAACCATGGCTTCTTCACCTTTAAAATATACATTATTATCTAAATTTAATAAATGTAACACAGTATTCAATAGACTGGTGACAAATTATCCGGCAACAAAATATCCTTACACTTACCCCAACAATAAGGTCCTCCCTATATTAACCACAAACACCAAGGTCCTCTTCCTCCTTTTCACTCACCTCCAAAGATGGTGTCTTCTCACTATTGAGGCAGTGTGCAGCAGTAACTACCCAATTAGGGGAGATAAGTGTGCCCCCACACAGATGTTTGGTCATTTCAGAGTTGGAGACTCGGATGCTCACCAGCCATGGAAACTGTCCTGATAACATAATCCAACTTTGGTGACTCAAACACACACACATGGAGCTAGCTAGTACATGTATCTATAAATAATGACATTTCCCACCCCATACACTTGTAATGCCTACCATATTGCTTTTCTGTTTGCCCTATTATAATCACATGCCTTTTCCTAATCTACTATAAATCATTTAAACCATCTGTAAGTAATTAAAACCAACAAAAAACTCATTAAAACCATGAAAAAGGGCATAGATTAAAAAAAATGCTTTTGTTTGGTTTAAACCATTGGTTTAAATTGCCCAACCCTGCCAAATACAGTGTGTATTGTGAATAGTGACTTCCAAATTAACAAGTCAAAGTACTATGTACACAGTATGTACTCAAGGTTAAAATTACAGTAATTAGTAAATAAATACAGTATATTGTAACTACCTGGGAGTGCAGCATATTGGTCTCTGCTGGAGTAGCCTTTGGGGGCTGAAATAAAAGTGTTCAGTTGTGTTTATTGAATTAAACCACACACACACACACACTAAAAAATCTACATTACATCAGTTATACACTGACATTGTCATTATTTAATTAGGAAACCAATGGATAATGCAAAATATTCATAAAAAGACAGATGTTCAAGTACTGTACTATATTGTATTTTGTTTTGACTGTGCAAATGTTCTTAGTAAGAGAAGAAAGAATCACTGACCTGCAAATCCTCTCACAGCTGCGAGTATGGTGTCCAGTTCCTCTGTGCAGGTTATTTTTGACGAGGGAGAAAATACCCATTAGTACCCAGAAACACTAGGCTGCCACTAGTAAGTTAATGCAGTAGTATAGCCATACCATGAAAGCCACTGTTGGTGGAGTTCGTGAGTACTGTAGTACTAGATCAACTTTTTTTGTTCTGTGGGGAAAAAACAGATGTATGGCACACTTGTGAATTATGTTTATATATACTCGTATAGTATTGACGAGCTCCTTCCGTGTCGCAGCAGTTGTTGAAGGGTCAAAATGGATCCAAGTCCTAATAGGTCCTAGACTTTATAGACACTATCCTTAATGGTTAGGTTAGGACCACTGATCTCGAAAAAAAGAACATCAGTAGAACAAATTAAATACTACTGTAAACTGAACAACGCCTTCTGGTCTTAGCCATGTAGCAGTGCCATGTCTTTAGAGTAAATTATCGTGTTTTTTTTAGAAAATATATGAGAATTTAGTTGAGATAATATTCCCGCCATACTCCAAGCTGCTGTGGGTATATCAAGTGCCTGCCTGTATGCCTACACCTTAGCCAATCACTGTGATCTGCGAGTGACATAATGGGCATCGTTAAGCTGATAGGGTGAAGCCTGGTCTGGGAGTTTTATACCCAGCAGCAAATGAGCTCGATTTTTAAACATAGAGTCTGTGTTTGGCGGTGTTTAAGTGTAGACGTGAGTGTGGGGGAGTCGGTGAATTCATCATAGCGAAATACTGCATATAAATATGGTACCCTGTGGTAAACTTCCTTTACACGATGTTATACTGAGGGTACTCTATTGTTTTGAAAGTGTAATTGTCTATTCTGAATGACGTCGTTAATAAATGAAGAACCGTTACGAATAGTTCTCGATTCCCTTCCCGTGTATTGATTAAAATATTCCTCATGTCTTTGTATTATACAGTGTGCCATGGGTAACAGCATAACTATCACATGTTTCCTCTAGTGGCTAAGTTATTACATACTATGATAGTTACTGGTTTCCAAAATTCGGTAGCAAAACAAGGAAGAAACGTACCTAGTGAAGGGGGCGGCCTCGAGGGCAGGTCAGCGTGAGTGGCAAAGAAGTTGTGGGCTGGTCCGAGGAGATCCATTACTACCTGACTCAGATGGGCGAGGGCCAGTTGGTTGGCCATTACGGATATCCGAAGATCTTCCTTCTTCGAAAACTTTTGGGTAGCTTGAAGGAAATATTTGTATTTTTTCTCCATTGTCGGCCACCCTTGAGTACTGTTTTTGTCCCGAAAAAATTGTTGCACGATTTCCTCTCCCAGTGGCCTGCCAGGAGATTTGTCGGGCGAGCCAGGGAAGTTGAGAGACAATAGGAGGCTGGGGATGAGGTATTGGTTATACAGGAGTTGATAGTTCATGAAGTGCTGCTGCAGGAGCAGGGCGTGTGGGAAGCCCATGATGGAGAATGCTTGCAGTGGCTGCGTCGCTGGGAGGGCGGTCGGTGAGGAGTCTTGCAACACTGGATAGTCCTGCAACTCTGGTCGTGAGGAATGGTGGGGGGAGGTTTGTGGGTACACGAGAACTGATAGACCCGTGACCCTTTACTCCACACAGGTCACGAGACACGACGTGTACTCATCTGGCAGGGTTGCCAACCTGCCAGATTTACTTTTCAAGATTAGGCCTTTTTTTTTTTTTTACAAAATTAATGCTGCAGTATCATAATCTACTCCACTACTATTCTTTTGACTAACTTTGTAAGCGTGTAGACAACCCATGTGGATATATAGCAAGATAAACATTAGGTGGATAGTTCAGTAAAATTTGGTTTGTAAATAAAAAAAATATATAAATAGGTGGATTAACTCATTAAATTTCGACTGGTAAATTAATACATAGATAGATAGGTAGGTGAGTAGAAATAGATAGATAAGTAGATAGCGGTGAAGAGGAAGTAAAGTAAAGTACCCGCCGAGACAAGCTCCCTCCCTCTAACACCCGCTTGTAGGGATTACTGACTTGTAATTCATTTGATTTCGGTTTCATAAAGTTAGGTAAGAACAGTAGGAGAAAAGCCAAACACAGCGTTACAATAATGACTTATATAATAAACTATACAATCAGAAGTTGGTTATATGAAGACAGGACTTGGTTGTGGCTGGTAGCGGGGTGAAGAAGATGGTCGTCACGGTCC